GAGTGCGTATTCCGGCAATTCGGTGCCAGTGAGATGATCCGGCATGACCGGAAACTCGGCTTCATATCCGATTTCTTCCGGGCGTTTCATAAGATCCTGGGACAGCGGCAGCGTGCTACGATGGCATATCGACCACAGGCTAACGGGACTGCTAAGAGAATTGTGCAGACCGCGACTAGGGCCCTCAAGATGTACGTCCGCGACCTCGGTCAGAAGGATTGGGACGAACACGCTGAGCGCCTTACCTTCGCGATCAATACGTCTCACGATCGGAGATACCCCTCTCTATTTGGTGCATGCGTGGGATCCGAGATCGACACTGGAGGCTACACTGCCAGTCGGATGTACAAGACGGCGCGATCGAGACGCGCGGCGATGGTGATATCGAGTCCAGTGATACTATCAACAATCCTAGGGACAAGTCAATGCCAGATTGAAGGAGGCCATCACAGATCGAGCTGACCGACACAACGAGGACGTCGGATCACACCAGATCGAGGCCGGATCCCGCATCTGATATTACCTAGATCGGGTGAAGGAAGGATACGCGCGAAAATTGGCTCACCTCTGGCACAGGCCGTTCCGAGTCGCCAAAAAGATCAACAAATTCAGCGTCAAGCTCGAGATCGCAGGCACCGGGTACCAGCCTTCCCAGTAGTACACGTGTCGAAGTTGAAATTGGTCAAGGATTTCCCAGATCGGCCGCGAGTGGAACTTTCGGTGGACGAGGCGGATCGTCTTGATTTCGACGAGACCCTGCTTCCGGAGGACAGTTGGGTTCCGGATCTCGGGGCCGATGAGTACGAGGTCGAGCGGATTTCTGATGTACGGTGTGGGAAGAAGACGCGCTTTGGTCGGATCTATCGAGAATTCCTGATTCATTGGGCAGAATACGATGAGCCCACCTGGGTCGACGAAGCCGATCTCAACTGCGGGACAATATTGAACGCCTTCCTACGAGAGCGGGCCAATCGGAACCGATTCACTGTGATGCAATCACATGAGGAGATGTAAGGAGGACGGGGTGAGGTTACCTGATTGTCTCGCCTCCGAGGGAATACCGATCAGATAAGATCGAGATCAGGAGTTCATGTTGTATATATGCATATGGAAGTCGTCGGATGAGATCACGGAAGACATGAGCAGTTGGAAGAGGGATCACTTAGGAATGGCGACGAAAAGAACAAACGAGCAGAAGTTGTGGCTGAATTAGGAAATTACGAGATCGACAAGGAAGAAACGCGATCACTGGTAGGAAGTTGGAGATCACGGAGTTGGGCGAAGAGTGGGAACTAGATCGTCGATCAGGGGGCCGCCGGATGATTGAACTTGTTCACGAGGCGAGGTATGCTCAGCGACGAATGAGCAGAACCGGGATCACGGTAGTGATTCCTCCAGGGATCCTCTTGATCACATTCAAACAGAACCGTGATCAGGTCGGTCGGCTCGGGGAGATTCGCTGTCGGCTGCGTGAGATTGGCCGCCCGGGAGACCGATCCGGGATACCAACGCACCCGATCCTGTTTTGTCGGCAGGTGGAGGAAATAGGGATCCAGCAGGAAGTCGATATCGGCTCACTGTGCTCTCATCATTAGCACGACTTCCCCCAACAATTTCCGCCAACTTTCTCCAGCCCGGATCCGTCGCTGACGTTGATCTTGGTGATAGGTGAAGTGATCTGAGTCCGCGTCGGTCATCGCCGACGTGATCTCGAAATAATGGGTCGATTCCCAATACGCAATCATGTGATCCTCCTCCAGGGCGGCATACGATACGGCGATCAGCCACAGAGGCGTCTCTGCTCGCCGGTGAAGGTTGTGATCGAACGTTAATGAAGTGGGATGACGCTAGCCAAGCATGCGCCATGGACCGGTAGCCATAAGAGCCAGAACATTGGCACCGGTGATCAACTCCGAGCGATAACCGGTCACGGGTATGGGAGCACGGATCAGAGGGTTTCGGAAGGGGAACAAGAAATTGGGCGGGATCTGCATCCGTTTCGTCAAAGTAGCCTTGATCATGACTATGATCAGTATAATTCCCACGGTAGCCGGGTCCCACGGGTGGATCTCGGCCGCCGTGAAGCGCTTGAGTGCGGAATAATGAGGAATACTCGCTTCGGTGGGGAGATATACCTGGATGGGTGAGCCACCCCCAGGAGAACCACCACCAGAGCTTCCTCCAGGAGACCTGGGAGGTGAGGGAGGAGGTGTCGCGGGACTGTGACCCGGAGGAGGTGGCGTAGGACCGTGATCTGGAGGAGGGGAGTCGTGATTACCCGGGCTGTCCCCTCCCCCGCTTGGGAACTCAGGTTTATCTTCAAGCTCCTGCTCTTCCGGATCCTCGATCTCGTGCTGATCTTGGTGCTCCTGGTCTTCCGGACCCTCGATCTCGGGCTGGTCCTAGTTAGGTGGCGGAGAAATCGGTCGATCACTGCGAGGCGTCTTGAGAGGCGGTAATTGAGGAGGAGAACTGGGCGGACTTCGCTCACGTTTCGGCAGCCTGACTCTCTCTGATCCTGTTGGCGAGGTGTGTGAGGAGCACATCTGCCTCATTTAGATCGCTCTCAGCCAGACCGCGCAACTCGGCAAGTTGGTCGTGGGCGACCTGGAGATCCGCCATCTGGCCCTCCCTCTCCTGAAGTTCCTGGCGAACCACCTCTCGAGATCGTCGTCTAGCTCGGCCGTGCGGGCGGTCTCGGTGAAAAGATCCAAGCAAACCTGATCACGTTCAGCAATCGCCTGATCACGGAGGCTAAGGGCCGAATCACGATCGACAAG